TATGTGATACCTACCTATGCCTGGTATATGTGATTTTGAATAAGTCACAGTGAGGAGAAAGTATGACTTTCCATTAGCATCAAATGTCATTTCCTCAAATGGAAAAGTGAAAACATTCCTAATGTATATACAGGGCTATCAGTCACTAGAAGGTGCCCAAAGCATCTGTCAAACAGTTTGAAAAATTTTATTTTTATTTTAAAATCATATAGTATTCTAACATAGACTTTGCACTTAATCCGATTTTGACTAATGTGGCAAGAAATACATAGTAAGGGAAAAAGGTCAATTTTAAAAACAAGGGCAACTTTAGAAAAAGTCTGGAAATCCAATAAAGGTAAAATAGAAAGTTTCCATGTGACCCACACATCCACACAACATATACTTCAGTGTTCATAGTAGCATTATGTATATAGTAGCTAAAAAAATACTAACAATGCAAATGTTCATGGACTGATGAATGGATAATGTGATACAGTATATCCCTATGTTTGAATACCATTTATCCAGAAGAAACGAAATATTGACACAATGTTACAAAAGGAATGAACCCTGAAAACATTATACTATATTGAAAGAAGCCAGTCATAAAAGATCATACATTTGTATAATTCCATTTATATGAAGTGTCCATAAAAGGCAAATCCAAAGAGAGGGAAAAGTGTTGCTTGGGGCTGAGGTAGCTGGGAAATAACTGACTGGTAATGAGCAAGAGTTTCTCTTTGGGTGGTGAAAATGTTCTAAGATTGATTTTGGTAATGGCTGAGCAGCTATGAATACGCCAAAGCTAATTTTAATGGGAGAACTGTGTGGTATATTAAAATCTCAGTGAAGTTACTAGAAATGTAAAGCAAAGAGGGGAAAAAAAGGTATAGAGTTTGACAGGTACTTCATTACTATTTTTCTGGATTCTGTGGTATTTATTAATTTTTTTTTTGGATACAGGGTTCCTTCCCTTTTTAGGGTAGCGAGCAGGATGGCCTTGAACTCAAGAGTGATCCTCCTGCCTCTGGTAGGATTACAGGAGGGGTGGGATTACAGGCGTGTATGGTAAATTTTGCAACTAGTGACTCTTAACTAAAAATATCTTTCATCACATTGTTGCAGAAGCAAATAAATTTACTGAAAGTCATAAATTGGGTATTTAAAAGGTTGGCATGTGAATTACTTCAATAAAGGTAGTTTTTTCATGAGAAAAAGGACAAGGATATCACATGTAAACCTCTTTTAAAAAATCACAGTAACTACAACAATGGACATACAGTTTTTCAAGCACATGCTCAAGTGTAGAAACAGACCACGGGAATTTGAAGATCACAGTATAAAAATGTACAAAGGATCAACATAAAAAAAAAAAAACCTACCACTTTCTCTCGAAAGCTAAATTCTTGACTCAGAATGGATTAAAAAAAAAAACAAAACAAATTCTTAAAAGCTGAAAGGAGCAAGTGTTGCATCAAAAAAAAAAATCCCACTGGTGTGTGTGTGTGTTTTAACATATACCCTATTAGACTAAAACTTGAGGAGCTGTATGCAGGATCCCCCAAATAATAAAGCGTGATGGTGCCATCCCATATCCCACCCCACCCCAGCAGGTGGAGGGAAAGGATACTGTAGACTACAGGATGACAGCTTTGTATAACCCTATGGACTTTATTCTCCAGAAGGCAGCTGGTGGTCTCTTAGGAAAGGGTGAAGATTTGTGGACAAGCTGAAATAAAGGGTCTCGCTTGCCTGGAAGAGGGCACACCGTGAGCCACATCTAGAATCAGCTATGTCCAGGGTAAAACACAGGCCGCTGGAAGCACTGTTAGCATTATCAGGCTGGCCTCTCACCCGGGGGTGGGTTTTTGTTTTTATTTTTTTCCAATGGAGAAGCTGACTCCCCTAGTTTGGGTACTGCGGAGAGGCAGGGATAAAGCGGGAGCCCGGAGGACGAGAAAAACGCCTCTGCCTCTAAGTGGAGACGCCTCGGGCCTTGCTAAGGAAGTTCCGAGCCCCAATCGGCCGCCGCACGCTCGTCCCCGCAAACCCCTTCCCGCGGCGCCACACG